ATATGTCTTAACATTCTAAAGTAAGTTGATAACTAAGTAGTTGTCTTTATGTTTCAAGTCTTATGATCTTTATTGTTAAAGTGTTCTATATGTCTTAACATTCTAAAGTAAGTTGATAACTAAGTAGTTGTCTTTATGTTTCAAGTCTTATGATCTTTATTGTTAAAGTGTTCTATATGTCTTAACATTCTAAAGTAATGTTGATAACTAAGTAGTTGTCTTTATGTTTCAAGTCTTATGATCTTTGTTGTTAAAGTGTTCTATATGTCTTAACATTCTAAAGTAAGTTGTCTTTATGTTTCAAGTCTTATGATCTTCATTGTTAAAGTGTTCTATATGTCTTAACATTCTAAAGTATTGTCAGTATTCTTGTATATTTAACAGAGCTATAGTGTTTATTACTGTAGGGTTTTATGTCTTCATATTCAAATGTATTGTCGGTATTCTTGTACATTTAATAGAGCTACATTCATTATCGTTGTCAGCATTTCTGGGTACGTAATATAGCTACAGTGGTCATCACTGTAGGGTTCTATATGTCTTAATATTCTAAAATGGGTTTTGTGAGGGCTTATTAGAGCCCTCCATCAAGTCTGTCATGATGCTCACTGTTCACACAATCACTGGTTGTTTGTTTACACAGAAGAAACTCACAGATAACTTGTGTGACCCTGTTGGGTGCTACGACTCTAGTACTTTAATTTTAATTGGCTTGGACTAGTGATGTTACACACACAGTAATGTGATATTAATGAACTATTTTGTTGTATTATAAAGACATCCAATATTTGTAACTGAGAAATTAAGTCAATGTGTTAAAGTTTCTAAACTATAAAATTGGTTATTAATTATTAGCAAATTCAGAAGAGCAAGAAAAGCTTTAACAAAATTGATTGTGACCTAACTTGCATTTGATGAACTATATAGATCCAAGATAGTAATAGTTCAATTCTGGTTTCACTTGTAAACATGTCTTAGTTTATCCAGTGAAACTCTGTTCAGTTGTAAACATTTGGCAATGGTGGACAAACTGGATTTTTTTCTTCAGAGGACACCTTAGGAAGAGCCATTATAACAAACATTTAGTGTTAGATTTGTACTAAACACAGCAAAAAGAGATTAAAAAGAAAAGTGAAAGGCACAGTCAGCAAGAGGTGGGCAAGTATATATATGGCACTGAATTCATAACGAAATACACTGTCACTCGCCATTTGAATTATAAAACACACAAAATTGCTTTAGGTAAATATATTATCTTGTTTTAGTACTCACTACTGAAATTTATAATGACATCACTTCATTGTTTATTATTACAAGTACAATCTGTATCATCAACAACCTACATTTTACAGTCACTATACTATAACATTGCCTGTATAGGCCTATATTTGTATGCAAGTTGCAAGCATATTCACAAAGCGAGGGAAAAGTGGTTATTGTGTGTTAGATATATTCATCGATTCAGTTAGGCTTATTTTACATTAAAGTTGTTATTGACTTTGTATGCACATATAAGTTATTGGCTAAGGCCTAACTTGATGATATGCATTTTAACTGATTTTCAAGTTACTTTCAAACTTTAGATTTGGTTATTTGTTAACTTTGTGTCAAGTGAGCATATAGCAAGGTAATTAGAGAACTGATTTTGTAGCCTTTACTAATTAAGTACCAGTTTAACTATAAATAAATGTTTTTATTTTATGCACAGCATTATCTGTTTGTTGATTTTTTATAAACTGGTAAGCCTATACATATGTTGTTTTTAGTAAATTTCTGTGTTAACAGTTACTAGGATTATTTTTTATATAGATTATACTGTACATTTATTTTATTGGTTTTATATTCAGTAGAAAGTAGCAGTGGTTTTATATTCAGTAGAGAGTAGCAGTGGTTTTATATTCAGTAAGAAAGTAGCAGTGGTTTTATATTTGTGAGAAAGTAGCAGTGGTTTTATATTCGTGAGAAAGTAGCAGTGGTTTTATATTCAGTAGAAAGTAGCAGTGGTTTTATATTCAGGAGAAAGTAGCAGTGGTTTTATATTCGTGAGAAAGTAGCAGTGGTTTTATATTCGTGAGAAAGTAGCAGTGGTTTTATATTCGTGAGAAAGTAGCAGTGGTTTTATATTCAGTAGAAAGTAGCAGTGGTTTTATATTCGTGCGAAAGTAGCAGTGGTTTCATTAGGACAGTCAAACAAGGTATACCAGTTTATTTTGGTGTTGACTTACAGGACATTGACAGCTTTGGTGAACCAGATGCAAGTAATCTAAAAGGAAAATTGGTGATGTATTCGAAGGTGATGAAAAGGTTTCAATTTTAGCATAGAAACACACTTAACTGCTAGTTTCAACTACAGCTGATTGACCCTGTGTTAATACTGGAGTTTACAATGGATTGCTGACAAAACTGAAAAATAACAATCACCTTCGGCTTTAGGCATTCACTGTGTTTCACATAGAATTGAAAGATAATGTATCTAAATTATTCAGCAATAGCTTTTGTAGTAATGGAAGTCAGGCAAGGAAAACTAGCTCTGAATAAGAACAGATTTTTATTAGGACAGTCAAACAAGGTATACCAGTTTATTTCGGTATTGTCTTATAGGACATTGACAACTATATTGTACAAGTATTACGCTTAACACTAATATAAGTCACTATAATGACTGTATAAATGCCTAATATTTACACCATATACATTTTTTATGCTATGTATAGGCATCAGGAGTGATATCTATGGTCACTGGTATAAACAAATATCAGCTGGGATTTCAAACAGTGGTGGGGAAAACTAAAACGTCATACGATGTACAGAGTAGTGAAAAGGTTAAATTTACTTGCACAGCATTTTTATAAGACACTAAAAAGGAAATTTTTTAATAAAACTAAGATAAGCTCAGAATAGAAAGAATTCAAGAGAATGGTTAAGTACTAGATGAAAGGATCCCTGGGAGAGTGTACTTCTATACAGAAGGAAGGAATTTAAGAATGTTTGTATACTGGTGGAAATAATGCTCTGCATAGGGCCCAGAAATAGTTTTGTTGAGGCAGGGTTTAGTCACCTTATCAGCATACTCTCTGACCAAAGGATTAGTTTAAAACATGCAACAGTGGATAACTTTCTATTGATTAAAAACATTATTTTGTATTCATACATGAGGAAAAGGAATAAATATTAGAAGCAGCCTTGGAAAAGTTTATGGCAAAAAGTAGGAAAAGGAAATTTGAAACAAATCCATTGAACATGTCTATAGAATATGCAGCCAAGAAACTGAAGTCACAGATGTACAATGAAATTGATCTGTTGGTGGTGAGGATGATTCTAGCATGTCTAGTGGATCAAATGATGAGGATGATTTTAGCATGTCTAGTGGATCAAGTGATGAGGATGATTCTAGCATGTCTAGTGGATCAAGTGATGAGGATGATTCTAGCATGTCTAGTGGATCAAGTGATGAGGATGATTCTAGCATGTCTAGTGGATCAAGTGATAAGGGTGAAAGAAGTGAGATTTTTTTTCAAGAACTGATTGCACAGGAATCATTTGATATTGACACTACTGATTATCCTGTACGCAGTATGTGTGAGGATAATGATTAAATAAGCTCCATTAACACAGAGGGTGTGACAAATGAAATAATGCATTAGGCCTCTATGTCATAGATTATATTGACACAGAGGATGTGACAAATGAAATAATGCATTAGGCCTCTATGTCATATATTATATTGACACAGAGGATGTGACAAATGAAATAATGCATTAGGCCTCTATGTCATATATTATATTGTCCATTATACCTTTGGAAAAGAAAAAAAACTGTAGTGTTATACATGTCGTAGTGCTTCAGTTGTTGAAGTATTTGTGTACACATAATACAAAGTGTCTCAGTATTATTATAGTTCATATATGTGTCCATCATCTTTGCCTTCAGTATAATACTTCTTGCTAGGATAGCATATCTTATGAAACTTAATAGTCTTGTTACAAAATGATCTGTTCAAAATTTGGATAATGAATCTTGTAAACTAGTTAATTTGGTGGAAAGATTTAAACAATGAAAAAATTACTATAATCAGGAATGTTTGATGTTGCAGCCAGGGGCAGATAAAGGCAGCCCATTATGAGGTTTAGTTGTTTTTTTTTTAACCTTAGTTTTTAGTCGCAAACATAATAAGCCCAGTAGAAAAATTTAGCCCCAGGCCTGTCTGTCCTTTATTTTACCCCTTCCACTGGTTATATAGTGATATAATGGGTGATGTATTTAATGATGAATTGGGTGAACCTATTTTGAGTATGTGAAAAACCTATTACATGATTATTTTTATTTGCTTCATTGGTACGTATATTTTGACTTGGGAAGTATCTTAAGACCAATGATGTGGTGATGGTTTTGACAATTACAGCTGTATTATGGCGTACTACAATTAGTTTTTATGTATATGCGGATTTTAATTTTTATAAAGCACTTTTGTTTACCAACATAGTAGATGTAATACTTCTAAGGAATAAATATAAAATATTATTATTGCTCTAACTGTTCTTATGTAACTGACCCAGTGTTTTTGTTCCGAATGACATCTATTCATATATTTGACAGGCACTGGAACATGAGTACTTTTATTCCCTACCTCTCCAGAGTTGTCCTTGTGATCTGCCAAAACCTAAAGTGGGAAAACATGGATTGTGTCCTAATATTCCTAGTCCGGAGCTTCATATATCAGTTTCAACTTTTGGTTAGACCATTGATATGGAGCCATCTTGACTATCCAGTACATCAAAATATCAACTTCTACTACCGTCCAGTTTGTCACGTTGTTGGTATAAAATACAAGTGGTGTGGAACCAAACTTCACAGTGTAAAATATCAATTTAGACCAGTGATGTCCAGTGCTATGTCTACTTGAATTACAAATGGAACCCCTACTGTAAGCAGGCAATGCAACCAAAACAGGACCATGGTAAAGATATAACTGAAGTTCACAGACCAAGATGTATTTAAATTAACATTTGCTCACAAGTTGTAGATTTGGGAGAGCTTAACCTTTCTGATTTGTACTGTATAAAATAAGCCTCTAAAATCTTGACCATTAATCTTCAGTTTCAATTGATGTCAAGGAAACCTTTCTAGGCTTACTTCAAGTGATTTTAATGATATATGTGTTGTATATAAATATTAGAAATACACCTATATATTGTTGTTGTTGTAAGGTGTTCTATTGTTACATGTTCTTTAGATTATATGGTAAAAATAATGTGAGATTCAGTACATATAACAATAACAAATTAATTTATTTATTCCTTAGCATTTGCTACAGGCTACTGTGATTTCTACATAGTTAGTTGTAGGCCTAAGTTCAGAAACAACGTTTTCACTTTTAACGGAAATTTATTTGGTAATGGTACCACAACTAATGGATAAACTTAATTTCACAGCTAATAAACTGTGTAACTGAATGTATGCCATAACTAACACTAATCTGAATACAACCAAGTTATAACATGTGATTAATCTCACAGGAATAATAAAACAACAGTTTCATGCAGGAAGCATTAAATACTGACTGAAACATAAACCTCAAACTAACATTCGTAAGTGATTTAGCTTGTATTAATACAAACACAATATCTGCTCTTAAATATTTCAAATGTACAGAACAATTTTGAGAATGTCTCTACTGATAAGCCAAGTTAATAAAGTTGGCATTTATGCACATCTTTATTGTATATTCCATTGTTACTTACATGCTAAGTCTCTTCCATATTGGCCCAGCATGGCCAGGTGGTTAGGGTGCTCGACGGTTCGAATCCCTGCTCCACCAAAGATTCTCGCCCCCTTGAGCCAATGGGGGCATTATAATATGATGGTCAATCCGACTACTCCTTGATAAAAAGAGTAGCCCAAGTGTCGATGGTGGGCGGTGATGACTAGCTGCCTTCCCTCTAGTCTTTCACTTCTAAATTAGGGATGGCTAGTGCAGATAGCCCTCGTGTAGCTTTGCGAGAAATTCAAACCAACCAATTAATCAACTCTTCCTTATTCTCTAATTATACCTAACTTTTTCTCTCTTCTTTACAATATGCAGATTATCCCTTTAAAAATATAAACCAAGTTTAGCTGGGCAGGATTATGTTGAACAAATTTATTTTCTCATTTAAGTGTAGTTTAAATCTTGTAAGTGTGAATGTATGTAATTAGGAAAAGGCTTTGGAAACCTTAAGCCTTGTGTTATGGTAGAAATTATTATAAGTGTCAAACCAACAAGTAAATAAACCAGTTTAGAATTTGAAACAAACTATAAAATGAACAATATACATAATAATCTAACCTAGTCACAGTCCGTAATGTTTAGCTTTGGCCTAATTCCTCTGTGAATTCTGTTTTTTGTTGACTTGAATATTACAGTCCAAAATCCTCGACAGTTCCAGTTTTAAGAATGTAAGCTTCAACTCCTGGTTAGTGTTTGTTGGTGAAAAGCTCTCTGTTTTAATTCAGTCAAGCTTATGTATTCCACCAGGAATTCACTTAATAAAGTCTTCAGGCTAATGGCAAGATATGTCTATGTTCTATTGTAAAGTCACTGGGCATTTAGTTGTATGCTTTGAAGTAAGAGATTTAAAGCTTTTACAATAGTTTGTAAACAAGTTTAAACCTTGTAAAAGTGAACTTACAAAGTATTACAAGTAGTTTAGGAAGAGGTTTGTGTTGTTAGGCCTTATAAGAGTGAACTTGAAAAGTACTACAAGTAGTTTAGGAAGAGGTTTGTGTCGTTCAGCCTTGTAAGTGTTATACTTTTCAGTTCAGATTCTGTAGACTATTTGGTACTGAGGAGTTGTATGCGTAGTTCTTAAGTGGTCTGAATGATAAAATTGGACATTTTCTAATCAATGTGAAGTAGGTCACTCACGATATTGCAATAAAACTTGATTATTATTAGATTAGCAGGATCTAAGCCTGTTTGATATTTTGATATCGCTTATGAAACTAATAGGAGTTGAGCCTGTTTACTTCTCAGTTGTTAAATTGGTAAAAAAAAAAGCCTTTTTTTAAAATACCCTGAAGTAGTCCAACAAAACTAACAAGAACTAAAAAATGTCACGTGAGAAATCATGAAATCAAAAGCATTTTGCGGGATAATTTAAAAAAAAACTTGTTAATATTGTGCTCCTGATAAAAAAAAACACATTAGGAACACATGCTTGAAAGAAAAACCACTTACAACTAGTAGTAAACTTTTATTGTTATTGACACGTACAGATATATTTATATATAGATATATATTATTAATTTGCCTAGAAGATTGGCTATGCTTTCAATGACTAAAATACACAGTCTGACTTGGTGAATATACAAGTAATGAGCAAGATGCAAATAGCTGCCTCATTTCAAGGGTTTAATATATTTCAACAAGCATACCACCTGGTGTCAGAAGTTTTCATTACTCACAACAATATATACAAAATGGAGTCTCAATCTTCAGAATGTTAAAGGTACATTGTTGTCTTTAAAATGATTTTATTATTAAATATACAATGTATTTACTCCATTATGTAAGGACTAACAATAGGAATTGTAAAACTTTTCAACACAACACGTACAACAAGTCTTAATCTTTCAAGTCAACAATGTACCTTCAAGAGAAGATTGAAAAGTCCAAACAGTTACTTAAAAGATGAAAGACAGAAATAGTGTTTACTTAACTGAGCAAAATATGACAGATACAGCATGGTACAAAAGCTATGTGGCCTAACATAAGGGAGACATTTAACACTATATTAACACATTACACTCAACAATGTAATATGTCACTGATAAGTAACTGACCAATAAAGATTAATGCTAGTTAATTAACTTAAGATGACACTGACAAAAAGAAAAAACCCATATAATTAGGTCTCTTTTACATAGCATTCTGGAATGAGTATTAGAGTAACAAAACCGATATTGCAAGACTTTTACACTTGCACAGCAATTAACATGATTTATTTCAGTCATTCACTGTGTTTAAATGCCCAAATTATTATTGCAATTTTGTTTTACGATTTAGAGTATATCTACTAACACCAGATAGCTTGAAATTAAATAAACTTTTTGATTTTTCAGCTGTTTTACATTAACAAAATGTACCACAGTGTCTTACTTTAAAGTCTTAATTATCATATAATAACACCATTCATCAACCAAATATATCTATAATATTAGGATTTTTATTGCACTGAAATAACATAATAAACCCCATATATACGTGTTAAAGGGTTTTATGCTCCGTAAAAAATTAGAAGGACTATGTCAAAAATGTTCTTTAAAAACAAATGTCAGGTCTGAATTAGTGTGTAATTGAAACTATAAAATCAAATATCATATTAATTCAACCAAAAAAAAAAAAAATTAACCAGAATTACCCGAGAGTTCAGTTAGGGCATTTTTACAAAACTATTGTATAGTAACAATCTGGCTCACTATGCTAAAGATACTCACATAAATAAATAAAACTGCATTTTATTCTTACTAACTATTTACAAACTAGTACATTTTACATTCATATGTCAAACAAAATAGTAGGAGGATTTATTATTACAGTAACATGAAAATAAAAAGTTTTTTTTTGGCCAATCCTGTTGTGGAAAGTACAGTTATATGCATACACAAAGAATAAATAAGCACATAATATCACCTAACAAAAATAATTATTAGGCAAGCAAATGATCTGCCTTGACAAAGAACATTTGTTCAAAATATTGCTCAACAAGTCTTATGTAGAGGATATTGTTATATTTATTTATTCTTGAATTTTACATCACCTCTAATGTTATACTTGTAAAATTATATACATACGTGTATACATAACCCTCATATTCAACTTAAAAATAAAAGTTAGAAACAAAACAAAATACACTTTCAGTTGTATTACGTTTTGAAATGTTTATCTGATTCACAAATTCATTTGGTCAATGAATCAGTGGTGGTGCAAGGGGCAATACACTTTTTTGGTGTCCCTAATATTTAAAAAATCTGAGACCAGCCCATAGCACTTGGGGGTAATTGCCCCCTCCCGATCCCACATTTGCACCATCACTGTAATGAACCATCTATTTAAATTTCTTTTCTCACCATTGTTCTGTGGTCAAGTTTAAATTTTTACTACGTGAATGGTTTTTTTTTCTTTGAGAGACAAGTACATGGCTAAGGGTTACCATATATACTAATTTGTATTACAGGATTTGTTGTTAGAAACAAAATGCAAATATTTTTGTTTCTTAAATCACTTCTTCCAGAAAGCTTTGGTAAAAACAATCAACACAAGACAGACATGAATAGATTTCATTCACTGTTTCTACACCTAGTTTGAAAACAACCATTACTAAAATACAATAATTCTTATAGCTCCGTAACAAATGACTTGAAAAATTTAGTTAATGTTAATTTTAATTACATAATCGACAAACTTTAACCAGTTTGTGTAATTTTTAAAAAGTGGGCTCCAAGGACCCCATATACCTTAAGATTGGGGGTCTCTTTCAAACTTATTGGGTCCCACACACACACACCCTAGAATTAAAGATGCAAGACGTCCAATTATAAGGTGATAATTTTCCATAATTCTTTCACAAGTTTACGATCAGTACATATTTATATATATAAAAACAAAATGCTATCTGTTCTTGGCCAAATGAACATTTTTATTCTACATGTATTGGCAAGATGATTGATAAAAAAAAACCTATTTTATAAAATACACCTACAGTAATTAATGGTGAAAGATATATTTGGGTGCTTACCTATCTGCAGCACAACTCCAGAAAATAAGTCACATTTACTTTATTTGCTTACTTTTGGCTTGAAATGGCATCTACACTGATACTGTTGTCCTATTACCAATGTCTTTCTATACAGGCAGATTCTGTCTCATAGTTTTTATTTTTGACTGCCTTTGCTATGAATTTCAAGATGTTTTTATAAAATGAAATAACTTGAGCAGTGATTACAATTTACAATGTTCAAGGTTGATACATAATGGACTAATGTATCTTTGCTCTTTATAGTTAAATACTTAAAGTATTAGACGTTTATAAACTTATTAGATCACATGCAGGCTGATTATACAAATTTAGATTTGGTGAGAAAAGCAGTTTGCATTTTGGTTTGTTCAAATTAATAATAATTTCAAATTTTCACGATTAAAGAAATACAAGAACTTGAAATGAGTACAAAAGTACAATAATCCTCATTTTTTTAAATAAAGTAACTCTTATCATAGCACTATGTAATTACACTTTAATTTTTGTCTTTATATTAAATTTTTTTTTAACCAAACCATTAGTTCTAGTATAATTCTTTTCTAAAGATCTTTTCATTTTAGTTGACTTTTATACTAAAATTAAGTTGATTAGAACAAAAATTTAGTTTGGCCTCAAAACGTTAGAAAATTCTTTGATTTTAAAGATAAGTTAATAGTGGGAGAATGAGATTAATTCATTGTAACAGATTCTCAATATATAAGGCACAAACACTTCACGAGACCAGAGTGACAGTAGCAGTGGGCTGGATACATTATGGGGTAACCCTCAGTAAATGAGTACTTTGATTTCAATAAGGTCTCATCTGATAAGAACATTGTTCTACATATCCAACAGAGGTTTTTTAAAAGACTATCTTAAGCCACTACTCCATTCTTCACTGGCAATTTTTACATTATTGTACTGTCTTTACAACCCCATCTCTCTGTGTACTTACAGAACGTTACTATTATTGTACCATCATTTTTACTTTATTATTGTAATCTTATAACCATTTTTCTACTTGTAGAACAATATCATTGTATTATATCATCTTTATAACCTTCTCTTTACTTCTAACACTATTGTATTTTCCTTATAACCTCCTCATTACTTCTAACACATTATTATTGCATCTTCCTTATAACCATCTTTTTACTTGTAGAACAATATCATTGTACCATCCTTATAACCTTCTCTTTAGTTCTAACACATTATTATTATATCTTCCTTATAACCTCCTCATTACTTCTAACACATTATTATTGCATCTTCCTTATAACCATCTTTTTACTTGTAGAACAATATCATTGTACCATCCTTATAACCTTCTCTTTAGTTCTAACACATTATTATTGTATCTTCCTTATAACCTTTTCTTTACTTCCTACACATTATTTTATCATCCTTATAACTATCTCGTTACTTCTAACACATTACTACTGTACCATCCTTATAACCTTCTCTTTACTTCTAACACATTAATATATATCTTGCTTATAACCTTCTCTTTACTAATAACATATTATTATTGTACCCTTACAACAATCTCTCTGTCCTTGTAGAATATAACTGTCATCGTTATGTCATCCATATAATCGTTTTATTCATATAAACAAGTGAATTATATGAAAAGCACTTAAATTACAAAACCGCCTGTCAGAACAAAACTTAACATTTAACATAATTAACAAGAACAAAGACTAGCCTTTAGAATTTACTGTAGTTCCTGCCTTACAAAATACACTTACCCCTTTGCTCCTTTGTTTATTAGTTAACTTTATGAATTAGAAAGTTCCACAATTAAATATTTTATGACTTAACCTTAATTAATAAAATAAAATTTCATTAATATGCCACCCTCCTTCTATCCACAAAATGTTTCTACAGGTTTGTATACTACAAGGATTATATATATATTTAATACAGTATAGGTTAAGTACATATTATAGTACAAGGTAAAGTGTAATATAGTATACTATAGTATCATTTATTCAATAAACATAACATTTATATTGCACATTTTTGTATGTTCATGTCTTTATAATTTTTTATGCTAAACTGTCAACACTAAAATGTAGATGTGTTGAATAAAACCTTACGCACATGTATAAGATAAGTAGTATAAAGAATAATACTAAATTTTACACGGAACCCAGACCTTGTAAAGAACTGCAAGAGCAATTAAAAAACGCAAAAATTTGAGTCTGTTCCGAGCAACTTTAGTGTAGCAAAAGGATCTTTTCAAATTCTCTAAAATTACGTAACATTTTAACTTCCCATTAACAGAACTCCTGTTTTCCAAGGACTGCTATACAGTTTAATGGAACTCCTGTCTTTCAAGGACTGCTATAGAGTTTAACAGAACTCCTGTCTTGCAAGGACTGCTATACAGTTTAACAAAACACCTATCTTCCAAGGACTGCTATACAGTTTAACAGATCGTCTGTTTTCCAAGGACTGCATAACAATTTAAAACTGTCTTTGGAGGACTGGTTTACAAAATACTGATACGCATTTTAACAGAAGAATAAACTCCTGCTGACAAAGGAATGTTGAACAACATGAAAACTTCCCATCTTCCAAGAACAACTACGTAGTTTAAAAAAAGAATTTCTCTAAATAAATACTACAGATTAAAATAAAGAATAACTTATATTTATAAACAATTAACCAATACGTACTAAGTACTGCTTTAATTTTTAAATGAACATTTGTTATCTAAAAAAAAGACTATTTTACATTAAATGAATAACTGAAGTCTACTAAGGACTACTATACATCTTAAATGAATAAGTGATGACTACTAAGGACTGTTGTACATTTTAAATGAATGACTGATGACTACTAAGAACTACTATACATCTTAAACGAATAATTGATGGCTACTAAGGATAACAATACATCTTAATGAATAAATTATGTCTAATAAAGGCCTGCTATACATTTTTAATGAATAACTAATGCCTACTACAGACTGCTATGGATTTTAAATCAGTAACTCTTGTCTCTTAAATACTGCAATTATATTTTCACAAAATAGCACTTCTTTATAAAGAATTATTACTTTTCAGCAGGGTAATAAATATCAAGGTCTACTACGAACCATAAAGAGAGTTAGAAACATATTGCTCAGTTTGGCATTAGTACTTCAACATCAATCTGCTTCCAAATATTGACCTAGTACAAGTTAGATTCACTACATCTGTTAACACCGTAGCACTAGGGTAAAAATCTTCAATACATCAGCACTAGTTGCACGGTGATTATGTAGCTCGATGCCTACCTCCATACAGATGACATCGGAGACCACAGTGATGACATGCTCGTAAAGGAAGGTAGCACCACAAACATGGAATGAGGAATGAGAGAAGCGCTAGTCCAATCCAGCGTTGGCAACACTGGTCATCAGAGGTATTACACGAACAAGTATGTTCATTGACTTCTCCCTCTACATCAGACACGCAGTGGTACAGCATACACTGGGCACAAGACATACAAGTGGAAGCATTGATGCATGTTAACACTGGATCAAAAGCATACTCACAGCTGCCCTGATAGTTCTTTTCCTCATCAAACATTTCCCGACAATAACGGCACTGGGACCATTCAGCAGGAGACTGTCTTTGCAATTCTCTTTTATGGTGCTTCTTTTTGTTCTTAGTTGGCAACAAGGAAGGTTGTTTACCAGAGAACTGAGGTTTCTTGTAGCTACATGCAGATACACAATCCTGTTTGTTTAATTTTAATGGATCCATGACAGGATAGGAGTATTCATGATCAAATCTGGATGATTTATCCTTGGCAAACTGCACGTAGGAATAAGATTCTCCAGAAAGGACTTCAATCTTGTCAATATCTTGAGTCCCTAGATCATTGCTGGTCCTTGCTCTGTTTATTACTTCTTCTCCTGGACCATTTGCACTTCCTTTACCTCCAGATGATGTTCCCACTCCATTGATGCTACTACTGTTGCTAGGTCCTGGAGGTATACGTGAGGAACGCATGAAATGCATGCGATGGAGATGATGGTAGTTGGCATGAGGATGAGTGTATGGAGATGATGAGGTTGACAGCAAATCACCTGGTATACTAGGATTTGTAGATGATGGCTGGACATGTCCTGCAATACTGCCACTTGTGGTGCTGGAGCCCGAAGAAGATAGAGAATCCATGGGCAGTTCCAATGTCTAAACATTTGTTATTCAGATTTAGCAACATAGAGTTAACATTTCTTAGCACAGATCTCATTAAAAACCAACATTATTGCTTGTTAAAAGTACAAACTCACATATTAGAATGTCAAACCTCTCTGGCTCCATTTTCCTCTACTCAAAATAGTCAATAAAATCAAATGTGTTTAAATTCTATTTTCTTGATCTATAACACAGCACAGTAGTTCCCCACACATTATGTACCAATGTTAAGCAGTTCCTCACACCGTATGTACCAACGTTGAGTAGTTTTCTACACATTATTTAAGAATGTTCAGTAGTTTTCTGTACATTATGTAAGAATGTTGCATTTCAACATTAGTACGTAATGTGTAGAGAACTACTCAACATTCTTACATAGTGTGTAGAGAACTTAGTTCTCTACACATTACGTACTAATGTTAAGTAGTTCTCTACACATTACATACTAATGTTGAGTAGTTCTCTACACACTATGTAAGAATGTTGAGTAGTTCTCTACACATTACGTACTAATGTTGAATAGTTCTCTACACATTACGTACTAATGTTAAGTAGTTCTCTACACATTACATACTAATGTTAAGTAGTTCTCTACACACTATGTAAGAATGTTGAGTAGTTCTCTACACATTACGTACTAATGTTGAGTAGTTCTCTACACACTATGTAAGAATGTTGAGTAGTTCTCTACACATTACGTACTAATGTTGAACAGTTCTCTACACATTACATACTAATGTTAAGTAGTTCTCTACACACTATGTAAGAATGTTGAGTAGTTCTCTACACATTACGTACTAATGTTGAGTAGTTCTCTACACACTATGTAAGAATGTTGAGTAGTTCTCTACACATTACGTACTAATGTTAAGTAGTTCTCTACACACTATGTAGGAATGTTGAGTAGTTCTCTACACACTATGTAAGAATGTTGAGTAGTTCTCTACACATTACGTACTAATGTTGAGTAGTTCTCTACACATCACGTACTAATGTTAAGTAGTTCTCTACACACTATGTAAGAATGTTGAGTAGTTCTCTACACATTACGTAAGAATGTTGAGTAGTTCTCCATATATTGTGTACAAATGTTGAGTAGAAAGAAAACGTAGAAAAGACAAAATCCTTACACACAAATTCACTATTTAGACATCCTTCCACCATCTTATCCCAAACTATATACTTTGAGTAATGGTTAAAGGCATACCGTTGAAGTAATCTATAATACTGAAAAAATCATTACCATAACTTGCATTATTTATTGAAACAACTATTTAATAGAAGAAATTATAAGTTATAAGAAGAAAAAAAAGGTGTATGTATTTATCAATTTTTTATTGGTCATGGAGTTTGGTCTAGTTGAATTATAACAGCTTTTTCAAAAAATTGCTAAAACATCCTGAAACCAATGAGCTACACAAGATTTCGTACACACACAGTAATTATAATGATTTTTGGTTTTAAACATAAAAATTACTTACTATATTTGTTAGTAAGTCATTTTTAATATCCACATATCTGTTTAACCAATAAACAGATAATTTTGGTGTTTTCTTCATAACAATGATTCTCGTGCTTCAAGTTCATTGTTTAACTCTAACTGCAACCTTAAAAACCTGTATTCCAATTATTTGTTTTCTTGAGAAGTAACAAGGCCAATCTCTTTTTTTGGTTCACAAAATAAATATTTATGTTTTAATATGTACACTAGATAATTCTAAAGAGTTAAAAAACTAGTATTTTAGTGTAATTCTAAGAACCCATGAGTGAAAGCAAAGAAGAATATGTTATAATATGTCAATCACACTACAACTGTTATATCCAGTGCCAATATGTCCTTTTGCCCAATATCAGTGCTCATTAGACTGGTTGGAATACAACACAGTAGTGGTCTAGATGCTGTATATATATATGACAAAAACTATTTTTAGGTATCAATAAGATTAAATAAATGAGTTTAATCGTATGAATGTTCACATACGTGTGTGTGTGTGTGTGTGTGTATATATATATATATATATATATATATATTACTTAGTTAGTTAAACTTAGTTTAGAAACTAACGTTACCACGAAGAAGAGTTAGGTTAAGTTTAAAGTAGTAGACGTGACTAGA